TACCAGCTTACAACTTATGAGTTCGAGTCGTTCTGAACCTGAGTATCTCACGAAACTAAAAAGAAATGTAGAGCAATTTAATGTACAGAGCGCGACACTGTTAGCGCGAACAAGCGATCGGCGGTTTTTCCAGTTTTTCTCTTTGAAACCAAGGGATGTCATCCAAGTTATTGTTGCTACGGAAAGAGCTTATTTAGTTCTATAATGTAAGCGGTAAATTTTCGTGCTTGCTAATACTATTTAAAAGCAAAATGCGAAAATGCGTCGATGTCATGTTCGCGCTAAGAGTGCCGCGATGTGTACGTTCATACTACATACTACACGCTTCTATTCTTTTGAGTTCTCCTTCGTGGAAAGAGGTACAGTTAGTAAACGCCGACATAGTTATGCGGTGCAAAATTTATAGGGAACGATGACACGTAATGTTTGACATGTGACTGTCAGTCTGATATTACAATGTTCTGGAGATAGCGCATTTTGAAATTAAAAAACACCATCGCAAGATTGCATGTCTCTGTATTATGTAGTGGTGAGTCCGCAGGATTTAGGTTAACGTGAATGCAACGCAAAAACACAGGCGGATCGATGAAAATAAAAACATAGCAAAAATGTGCGCTACATTTGAGAGGAAATAAGAAAGCAAACGCTCTGAACACATGACTCACAGAGTCACTAGGCAATGTTCCAGGGTTTGTCGGTCTCATAACTTTTAGGAGAGAATTTAAAGAAGAGAATAGTAATTCAACAGCCACTGACATAATTTAGCAGCACAGGGTGTGACGTGTGCGAGCTCCTTATTATGTTTGCTCAGCCAATGAGTCCGCGGCATTAGCCGTTGGCACCGAAGAAGAACGGATCACAATGCTATATCCATGAACATCATTAGCCATGCTCTGCGTTCCTTAAGGTATAGCTGATTATAAACGCAATTGAAAATGGGCAGGTTATAATGGAAATGTAATGGGTCTCGTTTCAGCAGTATATTGTCATGAAAGTTTAACTCCGTGCCCTCTGACTATATGCTGTTGCATTGCTTGCAGAGTAAAACCCTTGTGCACCAAAAAGTGTATACCTTTGATAGTAGTGTGATACATTCGCGAGCAGGGCGGATATTGTTACCCACGATATGACACTCAAGGTCAACCAGACAAATATTTTAAGAATAATTTTAAAAGCCCAATTCGGAGGAAGAGATAACACAATGAGAAAACCCACTACGTTAAAACGTAAAATGAAGTAGACAATCGCACCCTTTATTTGAATTGTTTATTTCACCAGGTAACATTTATTAGAATTTGTGAACCGCTGCACCTGCCCCCCCCCCCCCCCCCTCTCTCTTCCGAATTTTTTTTTTAGTTAAAATGGTTCTGCGGCTCACATGTGTGAGCAATGACAAGAGTGGTTATAGATATAATTGAAAGTTAAAAATGACAGGTATAATGTTTAAAAGCGCAAACAGACAGGGACAAAGAAAATACTAAGATAAAATCTGATTGATACATAAAACTAGTATGTTTATTTCGAAATAAATGTACTTTTTTAATACAAAAGCAGAACAGTTAAGTTTAACTGTAGTATTAGACATTATTAATATGTAATGGAGTCTGATGGTATTATTATGGGAGATAATGTTTGTTTGTGTTGTATATAGCACGCTGAATTAGAAAAAGGAGAGGAAATACTTTAAACGTAAACATTTTCGACAGAGGTCTGTCTGGTTAGGGAGAAATTGACATAGTTTTTGCTACGCAGGACTCACGAACATCAGAAGAAGCTTGCGGCTATCCGGCAGTAATCGTCACCTAGCGTCTGCCGGAGCAACAACAACTTCGTAAGGAACTTGTCTTCAAGGGTGCTCTCACCGACAGAAACATCCGTGCTGGCAAAAGGACACGGGTTCAACGTCCCAAGTAAGCCTCCAATTCTCGCTATGGCGGCCGCCATTGAAGACGGCATTGGTAAACTGGACCCGTCTCTACAAGAAGAGGTTCTGCTCAAGGCTATCGAGGCTATCGCACAGGTGCGCCGTCACCAGCATAATATTTCGTCCGCCGAACACCGCGCCCTTCGTAGCCTGAAGGAAGACGACGCCATCGTGGTTCTGCCCCCAGACAAATGCAACGCAACGGTGGTCCTGGAAAAGAGCTCCTACAACCGAAAGGTGACGGATATGCTTTCCACTTCGGCGTATGCGCCCTTAAAGAAAGACCCCACCGGCAAGGTCCAGAATACCATAAACAGGGCCCTGTCTATCATTTTCAAGGAGCACCCGGATTCACGCAGCCTTTATCTTAGGTTAATTTGTCGCAACGGGTCCGCTCCCGCTTTGTACGGTCTACCAAAAATCCACAAGCCGGAGGTCCCCCTCCGCCCCATTGTGGATTTCACTACATCCCCACTACGTGCAGTTTCGGCGTACCTGCACCGGCTCATCTCCCCCTAACTGGCACCACGGACACATACTTGCGAGATTCGTGTCACTTCATCGATCTCGTCAAAGGACGAAAGGTGAAAGCCGACAAATCTCTGGTTTCCTTTGACGTCGTGTCACTCTTCACGAGTGTGCCGGTGCCCCTAGCACTTTCTGTGGCCAGGACGGCCCTTTCCGCCAATTCCGGGTTAGCAGAACGAACCTGTCTGTCCGTGGCCGAAATCTGCCGCCTTCTGGAGCTGTGTCTTTCGAGCACATACATCTCGTTCAATGGGCGCTTCTACAAGCAAACGAGTGGAACTGCCATGGGAGCTGCGAACTCCGTTACCATGGCTAACCTCACGATGGAGTACATCGAACAAAAAGCTCTTTCTTGCTTTAATCCAAAGCCCAAGACCTTCCTCCGGTATGTGGATGATTGTTTCTGCATCGCGGAAGCCAGTGAGGTTGAGCGCCTGTGCCAGTGTTTGAACTCCATTAAACCGTCGATTCAGTTCACGGTGGAGCGAGAGATGGACGGCGTGCTCCCGTTTCTGGATGTGAGCGTCAAGAGAGCTTCTGACGCGCTCAACTTCGCGGTATACCGAAAACCTACGCACACCGGTAGGTACCTGGGCTTTGAGTCTATCACCCCACATCGCACAAGGCGTCAGTGGTCAGCGCCCTTTTCCGACGGGCGCTGTCCATGTGTTCTACGGAGGAGGCCCTACGAGAAGAAGTTAAGAAGATCAAAGCTTATCTAGTTAACAATGGTTACCCAAAGCGGTTCATTAACGACATCTACAAACGCCTACGCCGCCCCCCTGTAACTCCGAGCTCGAGACCGCCTAATCGGATCTGTCTCCCTTATGTGAAGAATGTGAGTGAGACCGTCGGACGCGTCCTTCGGAAACACGGCATTGCCGTCTCCCACAAGCCCGTGTCTACCATCCGTCGGCGGCTTCCTCTCCCCAAAGACAGACCAGGAAGGGAAAGGGCTCAAGGTCTCGTGTACCGCGTGCCTTGCGCGGATTGCCCGGTCGCTTATGTGGGGGAAACGAAAACTTCCCGGATCGTATTCGACGACACAAATACGACCTGAGAAAGAAAGACACTGAGGACATCGCCCTGGCAGAGCGCGAGCAAAAAACGGGGCACTCTTTCTCCCTCGACGAGACACAGATCGTGGCCACCGAGGGAAATTGGAGAAAATGCCTTCATCTAGAGCCTTGGTTTATCCAGACAACGAGCAAAAACGTAAACCGGTCCAAGGGCACTCTCCCGAGCGCGTACGTGTCTGGACTTCGCGCCCCCTGGGGTAAGACTTAGCAAGGCCAAACGCCCGGTCAACCTTCCACACCGCGCCCCCCTCCCCCGCGCCCTCTGGGTTAAGCCTTAACAAGGCCGACCGCCTGGGCAACCTTCCCCACCGCGCCCCCAGCTACAGTCACCCGTGACCAAGGGACCGAGCGGGTCCCGAAACGTCGGGTTTTATGTGTTTTTAATAAAACTTTGGTTAAAGTCCGCTAAAACTATGTCAGGCAATACTTTGGGACAACTTTGTTTTATTCTAAATAACGCTTATGACATCACTGAATATAGAACGCAAAGTAGAATACGCTGTGTGTCTATTAAACAATCAAAGTTAGCGTATCTTATGCTACGTCCTTGCCGTATCGCTTAGATTAGCACTACTAAGCTACAATCTTAATTTATCTGTCCATCCTTCTTGCCTTTAGGCTATAGGCAACCGAGGCTGGCCGCCTTGATTAATCTCTCGGGTATTCTCTTCGTTCACTTGCCTCCATGCCATAGGCATTGTGTGCAACTTGGATAACATTGGTAGTGTAAATTGTAATAATAGCACAATTAATCTTCAGGCATACTGCTTGCTGATATCATTTTGAGTAGAGAGGGCAGGCCGTCGACATGATGCAACGCTCATCGTTTTTCCTGTTCCAGCTATGGGTGCCCTTTCTTGGCTTTCTATTCTACGACATCATTCCGGACCATAGGAACACACCTCTATTTAGGCCCTTTTCTTCACCAACAGAATGACTGCCCAACAACCTTTGTTCTTTATTGAAAAATGAAAAAAAAAAATAAAAAAGGTAATTTAAAGTAATGTTATTTCTTTTTAAAGTAATTTTCAATTGTAATTACTTACTTTTACTTTGTGGTAATTTGTAATGATTTTAATCACATTTAGCCGTTTCAGGCACAAGTAATTGTAATTTAATTATAAAATGAAATCAATTTCCCCAGCACAACGAACTACTTTTTTCTTACATGTAAAAAAAAAAAGCCACAAATATGAAATCTGGTGTAAGAGATATGAAAAGCCGTTCTATGGCGAAAGAAGCTACCTGATTGTAAGCCACATTCGTTGTTCAAGAGCACAATGATCTATTGTAGGTGACCGGTTAAGGGTTCAAGGGGAGCTGCTCCCACCTCTTTATGGAGCTTCCTCTGAACTCTTAACATGTCATCGACTATAAGTCTTTATCCTGGTGACGTCAAAATTTTGTTCCCCATAAATATGATACGGCGCGCAACACCCTACCAGCGGTACGCTTCAAGTCGCTTAGACATGGCACGTCAACTTTCGACTGTTTGCTGCGTTATGATTGGAGCCATCATTCTCCTTCCTGAGGCGCACTCAAAGGTCTATCAGACCACCTACGATGCTCAAAGGGTAAGCGCTAACGTTCTTTTTCCGGTAGCATTTCCCACTTCATTGTAAGCCTCCTTAACCCGTCTATAAGGCTTACAAAATGTAAACTAAATATTTCACCTACCTGAAGTCCTTGCAGTGAGTCGATAGACCGGTATCGATTAATTCTGCATGTCACTTTTAGTATGAGCAAGTTGTTCAATATTTGTCTATTTGTTACGAGAGTGTATGTATGCTGGTATTTAATGATAATAATACAATATTATTAATATTAATATTTATTGGCAAACAATATTATCCTGTACGTCGACCGTGCCAGTCGCCAGTCGCGGTTCTTTGGAACCAGCGACGTCGTCGAGCTCCAGACCTTGGAGCTCTTTTTCCAGGTCTGGGACTCTGACCCCCCCCCCCCCCCCCCCCCCTCCGTGCTTCAGCGAAGCTTAAAGTGTTTGACCGTGTCAGACTTCTCTACCACGTCGCCCTTACGGGGTGGCAGGCCGCACTCCAAGGATACGCCGACCCGACGGCCTCCTACCTTCTGGGAGCCCCGCTCCCCGCACCACAGCCCCCCCCCCCCCCTCCTTCATCCGACCGGCCCTCCAGACCGACCAACCGTGGCCGAGGAGCCGCCAACCGTGGCGGCCGTGGACGACAGGCAGCACCCCGCCCTCGAGACGTTCCCGACACCGTCGAGTGAACTCTTCCCCCCTCTACGACGGACTGCTACCACCCTACCAGACTCTCATCTCCAGCGCCTCCCACTGTGGGACTCCCTTGAGTACGCGCCCCTTCCCGACACCCCGCCACCAACAGTGGTGAGTCCTGACGTACCTTCCCATCTTGTACAAGAACTCATAGAACCTTTGCACCTTGTCCTGCATGAGCCGCAGCCAGTGTTAGTTTCGGTTGCCGGCCAACAGATAGTGGCCGTTGTTCAGGACGTTGTTGACCCACCAGATATACTCCTCCAGGCCCTTAATTGCGCCAACATTCCTTTAGACGTCCCAGTCTCGCCACCATCCTCTGCGGCCCCTTCCTTGTCCTCCTCCCCCCTCTCCTCCTCGGAGACGGAGGAGGAGGACACTTGGGTCTTGGCGGCCGACCGTATCCTACGTTGGCTCCATGACCAGCACTCCGATGAGCCCTCAGACGGGGACGACGAGTCGGCCGAGGAAGACTCCCGCCTTCCCATCTTTCCTAGCACCACGTGGCAACCTGTTCGAGCTAATGCTCCCCCCCCCCCCCCCCCCCCCCCCCCATAGTCGACTGGGACCTTACTTCTAAAACATTTGGGTTCTTCCCTCCAGCCGACTATGGTAATCTGAGGATACGTTGCGCAGCAACCTCAGTGGTGAACAACCGCCCCCCTCCCCTTCAGATCAGTTGCCGGTGCTCCGTGCTGCAGTCGCTTCCATGACCGCTTCCGGCATTTTGAGAAGAACTTGTCGCGGCCCATATCTTAGCCCGATACAGTTGGCCCCCAAGTCCGCCACTGAGTCACGTTTCATTCTGGATGCTAGCCATCTAACACCGCATCTCACTGCCCCACCCTTCCGCCTCGACCCACTACCTAAAGTCCTCCTCCAGGTCCCCCTTCCCCCTAATGCATACTTTACTAAGGTGGACCTGGCGGAGGCCTTTTATCATGTTTCCCTCCACCCTTCTGCACAGAAGCTCACTACCTTTCGCCTTGACGGCGCCTATTTTTCTTTTACACGGTTGCCGTTTGGCCTCCGTCCAGCCCCGTTTTTAATGCAGCCCTTAGCGACCGCACTCGCACGTATTCTTCGTTCACGCGGGATCTGGGCGTGGGCGTATATAGATAACTTCCTACTCGCACACCCAGATCCCTCGTTCCTCCAAGCACAAACAAATCTTTTTGTGCACCAGCTCACAACTTGCGGTTTTCGGATTAACCCCAAAAACACTGCCCTCATACCATCCCAGTCCATTAAGTTTTTGGGTTTACGCCTAGACACCGTTGCCTCCACCATAGGGCATACTCCCCAACGTATCCAGTCCCTCGCGGACACCTTGCCTCTTTTGCAGTCCCCATGCTCCCAGACCCAGTACCGCCGCCTCGCCGGCCTCTGGGCATTTTATTTTTCATTATACCGCTCAGGCTACAGTGCCCTTCGGCCTCTCTTTGAGTCCGCCCTCACATCTAAACCTCCCCCCCTCCAGTGGCTCCTTGTGTTCAAGGAACTTTGGCATTCGTTGCCACACACCCTACCGCTCGTCCCCCAACCCCCTGTGAACGTGCTTTACGCCGATGCGTCCAACTACGGACTTGGTGTCGTCACGCCCACGTCTGCGCTCGCCATCCTGACCTCCCCTGACCGCCACATCTACCGGAGAGAAGCTGTGGCCTGGACTCTTGCTGCTCTCCTTGCGCCCACTGCTTCCTTGATCTTCACGGACAACAAAGCCCTCCGTTGTGCCATCACAAATGGACACCTGCGTGCCCTGCCCTGGACCCTCACTGTAGCAATGACCTGTCTGTCAATAAAGAAGGACCTCTGGGCCAAGTGGCTGCCGACTGCACAGAACCCCGCCGACATGCCCTCACGCCTTCCGCACTACTTTTCCGCCCATTCCCTCTCGGGATTGGCTGGGGGAATGTCGGAGGGGGGAGAGGGGGCGATCGCTTTATAAGCAAACGCACCCCTCTCTCTGTCAGTTGGTTGCTTCGGAGGGGCACACTCCCGTGTCGCTCCCAGACCCAAGCAACTGACAGAGAGAGGGGTGCCTTTGCTTATATAGCAATCGCCCCCTCTCCCCCCTCCGACATGCCCCCAGCCAATCCCGGGAGGGAATGGGCGGAAAAGTAGTGCGGAAGGCGTGAGGGCATGTCGGCGGGGTTCTGTGCAGTCAGCAGCCACTTGGCCCTGAGGTCCTTCTTTATTGACAGACAGGTCATTGCTACAGTGAGGATCCAGGGCAGGGCACGCAGGTGTCCATTTGCACAACGGAGGGCTTTGTTGTCCGTGAAGATCAAGGAAGCAGTGGGCGCAAGGAGAGCAGCAAGAGTCCAGGCCACAGCTTCTCTCAGGTAGATGTGGCGGTCAGGGGAGGTCAGGATGGCGAGCGCAGACGTGGGCGTGACGACACCAAGTCCGTAGTTGGACGCATCGGCGTAAAGCACGTTCACAGGGGGTTGGGGGACGAGCGGTAGGGTGTGTGGCAACGAATGCCAAAGTTCCTTGAACACATGGAGCCACTGGAGGGGGGGCGGTCTAGATGTGAGGGCGGAGTCAAAGAGAGGCCGAAGGGCACTGTAGCCTGAGCGGTATAATGAAAAATAAAATGCCCAGAGGCCGGCGAGGCGGCGGTACTGGGTCTGGGAGCATGGGGACTGCAAAAGAGGCAAGGTGTCCGCGAGGGACTGGATACGTTGGGGAGTATGCCCTATGGTGGAGGCAACGGTGTCTAGGCGGAAACCCAAAAACTTAATGGACTGGGAAGGTATGAGGGCAGTGTCTTTGGGGTTAATCCAAAAACCGCAAGTGGTGAGCTGGTGCACAAAAAGATTTGTTTGTGCTTGGAGGAACGAGGGATCTGGGTGTGCGAGTAGGAAGTTATCTATATACGCCCACGCCCAGATCCCGCGTGAACGAAGAGTACGTGCGAGTGCGGTCGCTAAGGACTGCATTAAAAACGGGGCTGGACGGAGGCCAAACGGCAACCGTGCAAAAAAAAAAAAAAAATAGGCGCCGTCAAGGCGAAAGGTAGTGAGCTTCTGTGCAGAAGGGTGGAGGGAAACATGATAAAAGGCCTCCGCCAGGTCCACCTTAGTAAAGTATGCATTAGGGGGAAGGGGGACCTGGAGGACTTTAGGTAGTGGGTCGAGGCGGAAGGGTGGGGCAGTGAGATGCGGTGTTAGATGGCTAGCATCCAGAATGAAACGTGACTCAGTGGCGGACTTGGGGGCCAACGGTATCGTGCTAAGATATGGACCGCGACAAGTTCTTCTCAAAATGCCGGAAGCGGTCATGGAAGCGACTGCAGCACGGAGCACCGGCAACTGATCTGAAAGGGGGGGGGGGGGGCGGTTGTTCACCACTGAGGTTGCTGCGCAACGTATCCTCAGATTACCATAGTCGGCTGGAGGGAAGAACCCAAATGTTTTAGAAGTAAGGTCCCAGTCGACTATGGGGGGGTGGGGGGGGGGGTGGGGGGGGGGGGTGGGGGGGGGGGGGAGCATTAGCTCGAACAGGTTGCCACGTGGGGCTAGGAAAGATGGGAAGGCGGGAGTCTTCCTCGGGCGACTCGTCGTCCCCGTCTGAGGGCTCATCGGAGTGCTGGTCATGGAGCCAACGTAGGATACGGTCGGCCGCCAAGACCCAAGTGTCCTCCTCCTCCGTCTCCGAGGAGGAGAAGGGGGAGGAGGACAAGGAAGGGGCTGCAGAGGATGGTGGCGAGACTGGGACGTCTAAAGGAATGTTGGGGCAATTAAGGGCCTGGATTAGTATATCTGGTGGGTCAACAACGTCCTGAACAACGGCCACTATCTGTTGGCCGGCAACCGAAACTAACACTGGCTGCGGCTCATGCAGGACAAGGTGCAAAGGTTCTATGAGTTCTTGTACAAGATGGGAAGGTACGTCAGGACTCACCACTGTTGGTGGCGGGGTGTCGGGCAGGGGCGCGTACTCAAGGGAGTCCCACATGTCCAACTATTATCGTAGTTGGCGCGCAAGGCTGTTCAGCAAGGTGAAAACCCGTACGCTAATGGCGCTTGCCAGCCCGCCACCCAAATTATAGAGTAAAACAATAACATATACACGCACGTATATATATATACACACACCACATACGAAAAAAAAAGACAGAAACGTGCGGCAATTCAACAGACACTAGCAATTGTTACTTGGAACCCAACATTGATATGAGCCCGTGCGGGAAAATTATATTTTGTGTGGAGTATATGAAATGGTGGACGAACTTAAATAAACTTTGCGATCACCTAAACCCCGAACCAACCTTGCCGCAGAAGAAGAAAAAAAAAAGAACGGAAACGTAAGAGCCTGTTTTTACTGGAGAATTTTATCGTCTCGGTTTGTGTATTCTTGAGTCACTAGATTATTTTGCTTTCTACATTGTAATTTTTTCGCCATCGTGGTAGTGGGCACAAGATGTTTCAGCGGGCGCGCTATAAGATAGTCGTATTAACTAGCCTCTCCACTAGCCCGGACGCTTGCTCAGCATGATAGAAAGCTGATCTCAGAGAAGCAAGGCATACTATTGGAGCCCTGGTGTGCATTTTCGGGGTTATTCGCCTGTTAAACAAAAATACAAAATGTTCATCTTTTTTTTTTTTTTTTTTTTGTGAAGGTCCTTACAATTTTCGTTAAGTAGTTGTGTTTCTAATGGGTTTATATATTTGTCGCGGCAGCTTGCGGAAAAAATAACTGCGGGGATTATGTTTTGCAAACAGAAGTGCAGAAAAAGGCACGGTATTGAGCACGTGACTTTTAGAAATGCGTTTTCTGCTAGAGTTCTGGTAACGCACTTTTTTTAACTATGCTAACGCGCCTGTGCCTTTGTCTTCTGGTGGATTCAGATAAGGTCAGACCAGCAGCGTAACCAGGGGGTGCGGTAGGGGAGAGGGGGCTTATGTCTTCCTTAAAGTTTAGCCGCCTCCTATAATACAAACATGCACTTTAACCCCACCCACCCTCTCGAAAATAGTCCTTGCTACACCATTGGATCAGACTGTGGCCGATACTTAAATAACTAGGTAGGAATATGTGTCAAGATATGTTTATATGTCATTGCCTAATTTATTTAATAAATAAACCTATAAATAGTTTCCCTAGAAAAATATTTTTGGACAGAAAACGTCGTTGATCATAAAAAAAAGTGGGAACTCGCATGTACACGCTCCTCCGGTGTTGTCATGTTCGGTAGTAAATAACTGGGTACTTGATATTAGAAAACCACCATTCTTTACAAACAATATATGAGCATAAATAAGCGGGCGTAAATATTATTATACGTTAATTCTTTTACTTGTGGTTTATAAAAAATAGCTCTAATACATGGGACCTTTAATGATTTTGTGCAAAATTTGAAGGCTCATATCTAATGAGATATTTTGTCATAGCGCGCTACTTTGAAGGATTATTTTTCTTGCACACAGCTATAGACAGTCATGAGGGCTTGACGTCACGGAGCTGCGGCGGCGCTGCGATCGCGACGGAGCCGGATGGTGTGGGCAGAAGGGCACACGTTTCGCATGGGCGTCATTATATTTCAGCATGCCGCAATGCTGTGTAGCTGTTAATCGTACTGGAAGGTACAAAACAAGTAGCGGAGTGAGTTTCCGCAAGTTCCCGGAGGACTTTTAAAGGCACAGCAGGTGGATAATATCCGTGGATCAAAAATAATGGTCGCCTCGAGCGGATGACCGTTTGTGCGGCAGCACTCTCTTGATGCAGGTGTGGCTTCCATTCCAATCTCCGTCTTGAGGCTTGCTCATGTGCAGGGAAACCTTCGTCTGATTGAGACCACCCAAAATTTTGTCCCCACGGTGTTCGCGCACGAAGCACCGGCCAAGGGCTCGTCGGGGGCTCGCTACGCCCGTGCTACCAAGCGAAAGGATACCGGCGGCCAAACTGTCAAAACGTTACCCCTTGTCGTGCCCTGTGGTCATGATGGTAGAAAAAAGGTTGATATGTGTATTTAATCAATTAATAAATACACTTCAGCAGACCCACAGTCTGCTGATCCCGCCGGCAGTGCGGAAACCGGCTCGAAGTAATCGTAGGACTTGAAAGACTTGCACGCCTGCACCGTGTCGGCCGTGAACTGGCTTGGTGAAAAACCTAAATAGACAACGACGTGAGTCGTCGACGTCGGTGGCAGCAACTTCAGGTCGGAACTCCAGCAGGTCTTGTTCACGGCGTACTGACCGTCCAAGGCAACGCGGTTCACGCACAGTTTGTCTCGATACCGCTGCCGTTCAGGCTCGGGTAGCGAGCTGAAACAGTCGGGCATAACGTACGGAGTACGTTGGCAGAAAATACGATGCAGAAATAAAGCTAGAAGCGTCTCCACAAAGTCAACAACGAGCGTACGCCACAGAACGCAATGGCAAAAACACGGAGAGCCGGGCCGCTTCTGCCCACATGGCTTCTGCACATGCGCAGCCTTCCGGCCATGTTGGTAAGCGGAGCCGCTCCGCGTGTCGGTCTATAGAATGATTTCAAGATCAAATGATTGTATATAATGGTTACCACGTGATATTATCATGCAAACACATGATTAACATTGAAACACAAATATCTACATAAAAATCGTTTTTTCTTCTTTATTTGCAGTTCTTTTTTTTTATGTGGGATTTCATACTCCTGAAAATTATGTTCCAATATGCCTGATGAAGAAGTTACTGACCTACAGATCCTCTACGGAGCCCCTTTTTTTAGGCATGGTAACCCTGGAGCGAGGGGTCAAAAAGGGGACGGACAGACCCGAAACTCCGAACGAGGCTTAGCATGTCTATCCTAAACCAGCTCCCCTGTCTATTTCCTTTAACTTTCCTTCTTTAGTCTGCGTAGGGTTCTGGCCTGAACGAAACGCGGTCTCGAGTTACAGTTTTATCAAGTTAATAGTGCTTTAAACTCAGACTGTGTTATATGGTTGTCACTGAACCGCTTTGGGTTTCGCAGTCATGAATCGGAAAACAAAGCACCGACTGAAAGCCGAACCCTGACGCACTGCTTGTTTCCTCACTGATTAGACACGAGCGCTAGCTGAACGTCTTGGTCGAGTGTATGGGAGTTACTCCCGCGGGTCTCCTAACGTAGTCCGTTTTACCTTTCCAGGAGCTTGCGTTACCAAAGCGGTACTACTTGCAATATCGTTCCTACCGAGACGACCATGCGGTACCAGAGGCGGCTAAGTGTGTGTCGCTGGTTGTAATGAACAATGCATTTGGTGTAAGAAACGCCATTCTCTTCTACAAGCCGACTCTTCAAAGTCAAACGTAAGGGCTTAATGTGCATTACCAACTGCATGTTTGCGAACGTTTTCGTCCTTGGTTCTCTGCAGGCGTGTATTAAGTGTCGTCCTTAATTTGGAAAACCGGCCTAAATATTCACTACAGTGATGTTTCGCTAGAATGGACACGTATTACCCCCAAAGGGCGTTCATAGAGTAAGGTGTTCCTAGTAACGAGATAAAAATGCATTTATTTACTCAGTTCTTGCCCCAAAAATGTTGTCTATAGCGGCGGGTTCACATAACGGGTTCCAGATTAACGATGCATTACTGTATTACAAGAGTAAACTAATCTTAACATACTCTTTAAAAGAAAGACTTCATCAACCACTTGAGAGCAGCCACGGTACATGACCATTATTTGTTTCATTATCATATCGCACAAAGGTAATATATATATATATATATATCACCTTCGTCAGGAAGCGTCCTGAAGAAGGCCGAACTCTGGTCGAAACGTCGAAGAATAAATCGTCCGCTGTTGCTGTCTTCACGAAAGGTTTTCTTTCCTTCTAAGTTATATATATATATATATATAAGAGTAAACGTGTTTCGAAGCTGTTACTTTAGTTTTAGGACATTATGATCGACGTTTCGGCCTAGGTCAGTCCTTCATCTTCTTACACTATATATATATTTTGTTTCAATCTGTTACTAAGGAACACCGATTTGAATACAATAGTTTAATATACGTTTTATTTTCTATTTTAATACATTTAACAAATATTTAGTCACTGCGGAGTGCACTTGTTTGTTTTTGTGTGATTCTACTGGGGACGCCCACAGAAACGCGGGCCGCCTTCTTTGAACTTCAACTGCATATATGCAGAGCGCAGTTCCAGTTGAGAAGTGCAATTATGCAGTTGGAATTCAAAGAGCAATTCCAGCGTTTCTCAACAGCAGATGAGTGCATTTCTTATATTTAAGTGTCAATGATTAGAAGCAGCGTTAATATACCGGCATCTTTGTTAATTTCTCCTTAGAATATGTTGATTTAACGAAATAGAAACGGTCTCTTCTGAGCCGAAAAACAAACATCTCTACCTGATCTTTGTGATTATTGAACCTTAAGTGGATTGGAGTTTGTATTCGGTCCCCGTACTGCATTTGGCATTACTCACATTCTAGTAACATACTACTGATGGTAGTGCAGTCACATTACCCCGAATTTTGAAGGTAAAGTTGTATCCCGTGCCTTCAAAGGACTGTGTGCGGATGACGTTCCCACTCACGAGGCATCATGATAGGTAGACTTCCTGTATTCCCCGCCTAGGGCGTCCCAATTCCTGGTCCTCACCTTCTAAATTAAACAATGGCGCAAACAGTCATTGATGTCGTTAAGCAGATCCAAATGTAAACTAATCTATTTCACTAGAAAAAACATCTGTCCTACCATATTAATATGCCATCGGCCCTGACCTCATTGAGACCGTTTTAACATATAAATATCTTGGTGTAAAAATAACATCAGACCTCTCATGCAATAACCACATTGAAGTCAGTCGAGCTGAATCATCAAGAGCTCCAGGATTCATTCGACGTAACCTTCGCAGTGATATTCCACTCGTCCACGCACTGAAACGTGTTCGTCAAACCTAAATTAGAATATGCAGCTTCCATCTGGCAGCATTCCCATCGAGCCTACCTCATCAATCATCTGAAGACAGTACAAAGCCGGGCAGCTTGTTTTCTCCTGACAAACACGATTTTTAGCCAGTGTATCCGCCTTAAAAAGTCAACTGACCCTGTCTTCTGTGCAGCTCCGCAGGAAGCTCTCTCGCCGGTGTCTTCTCCCTAAAGTTTACTATCACTGCCCCGCTCTTTGTTATCACCTCTTGACAGAACATCGTCCCGCCTTTACAACTGCAGCAAGATTAAACGTATATTCGGTTCTACAAACGCATTTAGTCAGTCTTTCATCTCTTAAGCAATCTGCGACTGGAACAGCCTACCATCTTCCATAGTCACCATTGTAGACCCAAAAGGTTTCTCTCAAGTTTACGGGCTCGTCTTTCTTGTTATTAGTATTTGTTTCTACTTTATTTCTAACAGAGTTTATCCTGAATTCATTAAATTAACCTGTGTTTTTATGTCTTGATTTGTGTAAAAGTGTATCCCCCTATCCCCTTTTATGTAAGGCTCTAACCGGGCCCTGAAGACAAATAAATGAAAAAATTATATATATCTTTAAGATTCTTAGGGCGCCTGAGTACGAAAAATATTGAAAAGAGATTATATTTTTAAAAAAAATTTCAGTTTGTTGGGTAATTTCAAAAGGTATTTAAAGGATGCCGGTAATGTTAGGCAGGCTCTTTAAGGATGCTAAGAAGTCTGTTATTCTGACGAATATCACATCGGCTGGGTAATGTGGTCGTCAATAGTTGATCGCGGTCGAGTGTCCTCGCTCTTTCAATTGCGCCGTCAGTTACCGTTGGCGGACATTTTCCTCTCACTGTTCGTTGAAGTAACCCTCGTGAGAGCATATTTTGTCAAACTTTTGAGCCTGTCCGTGCGGTATACTTGTTTCACAATCGCGGGAGTGGTAGCGGTTACAATGCAAATATTTCAACGACCTGTATATTTCCTATACATTTTTTTACGTTTTTTGTTTACGTGACCCAAAGAAAGTTAACTCTTGCTAGAGAATACGTATGAGTAAATATAGTGGTTCGGTGAGCAGAATACACTTAAATAAGCTGGCCATCCGTTTGTTCCCGTATCAGAAATATGTCGTCAATGTATCGTCTGTAAAATAAGGGTCGCAGAGGCCTGCTCAATGGAAATTTTTTTTAATTCGAAAGCAATAACTGCCTTATTGAGCGAAGTCGATGAAGCCGGGCAAAACTGCAACTAAATTCTCTTGGCTGGGCGTCGTCTGTAGAAGCGGAACGGCAACTAAATTGCCACTGGCTGCGAAATATTTCTCGGGAAGCTAGGTTCCTGTAAACAAAGTAAATTAATGGCTTTGAAAAATAATTTCGCACATTTCCGTCTGGGTGGGAAAATAACCCTGGCCTCCGGGGTGCGAGACGGGCACGCTTCCCCGACGACACGGTGGCTCTACACTTCCGGCTGACTAAAGATGTGCCTAGTGCGTGCGTCATGCCCCCCTTTCGTATTCTGACGGGTTAACAAACCTAAATGTTTCTGACGAATCTTTTTTTTTTTTGTTCTTTGTTTATAAAAATGTTGGTATAGTTAGAAACCGTTTTAGCGCCAATCGCTATTTCACTGAGCCGCAGGGCCAAGGTTTTTGTTATAACCAAGGCTATTGACGCTCTCGTACGTATCATTTCGTAAGGCGCTTCTGTTGTCGTGGGGTATATTTGTGTAAAGAGATGAAACGTAGGGACGTATGTTCTCTTTAAAGGCCCAATCCGGAATACAGTCCTCGAAATTTGTGAACGTGCTTAAAATGTTTTACGAAATAATCACATGTGGGTAAAACTGCGATAGTAAGGCGGTCTATGGAGCTGGAGATAGGTTCTGTCAGGGCTCTGTCAGATATATTGGGGCGGCCAGGGTTTCTCGCTTTGTTCATTTTTGAAGTCGCATAAAAACGTCCTACCTTAGCATATTTTGGTTTAAAGGAAATGAAAATGGAGGTTAATATACTACCTATCTCCATAAAATCAGTTACAGTGTTCAAAAAATGTAATGGCTTCGGTCGGATCATTTTCGGGTAACTTATAAAATAATGTTTCCCACAATTGGGAAAGGCCTTCTAGGTTTTCGTTGTAATTCACTATTACAACGGTTCCTTTATTGTCGGCTGGCTTAATAGTTGTGTCTCGTCAACTGCTAAGATATTTAGATCCCGCTCGCAAAAGGTGAAGTTATAGGTGTGTGGCCTGCGCTTCTTGTATTTCGCTATATATATTTTTGGGCAGATTTTACGGAGAAATTCAAATGTTCACAGCAATGGGCACTAAAAGTTTTTCTGTCGTTTTTTTAATTTTTTTTTTTTCAAATGAATAATCTGTTGCATGCTTAGGGTTTTGTAAAAGCATTCCCATAGCCGTAGGTTTCGGCAAAGTTGATTAAAAAAGTTCGGCTATAAAGGCAACGGAAGAATATTTAAAAATACAGTAAACCAATACCTAGCTGAGCACGACGACCTTGCTAAGACGAAGAATAGATTTATAAAAATTTATATTAGTGCTGCCAAATTGTGTACGTCTATGTAACAGTTTAAGCTGTACGACTCTTTGATCCAAAATACTACTACCGGCTTGTTTCTTTCCAGTGGACGTTTAGTGACGACTGCATTTTTCAGTTTTTTTCTTGCATTGTTTTTAACTATACAGTAAATAATGTGTTTTCGCAGGAAAAACAAGCAAGTCAGGATAACGACTCACAAACCACCTGGCAGCCGCAGCGTCGTAGACACTATGATGAGAATCACCGATACTGATACAGGACGTCGTGAGTAAAATTGTATTTACTTGGGATCATAATGAAAGTATTTATATGTCGCCATCCGAAGGTTGTTTTCTTTTGCCGAGATTTAATGCTTACAAAAGCATTGAATCCCTGTGATATAAGCTTAATTTTCAAAATTATTACTTTGATTTTAATCAATAAACTTCAAACTAAGTTTAATTTATTATTCTTATCATTAAATTATCATTATTATTATTATTACAATTATGTGATGTTATTCCGTGATGTTATTCCGTGCGAACTTCCTTTTTTTTGTATTTTCCAGTGAAGTGTCTGGTCCCACAAGTCCCTGATGGCTTTGATCGGACCCGACACTCAACTGGCTATACCTGAACTACTGAATAAATTTATTATTATTATTTTTATTATTACTATTATTATTATTGTTTTATTATTAATAGTATTCTTATAGTTAACCTGTTCAATATGCTAGGTCCGTAAATTCCTTATGTCTTTATTTTTATTGCGACCTCTCATGGAATAGTCACATATGTCCTCTATGTGTCAACGACAAAGAACTATCTTTTGTTTACTCTGCAATATTAGAAGTGTTGTACAATTGCCAATTACAAATAACATTATGGCAGAATCAGACTACACCATACTTAGGTGTGCCATTACTCCTTTTTAACTGTCTACTTTCTGGCATTCACGAGTTGATCGCATTTTAAAAGATATCCTGATAAGTGTCACATACAATAGAGATTTATTGGATGATAACGTCTTTGCTTCTTTTAGACTGCCGGCTTTTTATTTATTTTATTTTTTTCAAACAGTTTTTTGGAGGCAGTTCAGGAATATTAAGTTCAAAGTCGTGTCAAGCCAATCTCGTAAATTTATAGCTGCTGCCCGTTTACAAACTCCGTGAGTTGGAACACAAGACGGCAAAAGTGTGCTTTCCTTTTACGTGCCAAATATTTTTAGCAACTTCATAAACCCAGTGTTTTTCCTAAGCTCAAACAAGCAATTGAATAAATCTGTGAGAAGCATATTTTCTGGCATGTTGAGGCAGTGATGGCATATATTTCTCTCTTTCTTATTTTGGCAATCTTACAATTCCTTTTTTTTTGTGTGTGTGTGTGTGTGTGTTTTCGTAAGTTTCTCTTCTTCAAGTAAACAAAAATTATTATTATTTTTTTTTTTTTTTTTTACGGGTGAGTATTCAAAAACGGAGTGGGCGAATTTCCTTTCATGAACGTCTTTACCTCCGAAACCAATGCGTTTTTTTTTTATCTTTTAGTTACTATCTTGCTTTCCGTGCTTGCATTGAGTATTCTGTATTTCTTTTTGTAAATATTCATATACTACGAATATACTAAGACTACGAATTTTGACCTGTGGGAAGTCTCTTCACACAGGTCAAACGTGAGACGCTGTAAATGTCGACCTGTATGAATCCTTCTTTGTTTATTTTCTTGCAAATTTTCCCTGATTTTTTTTTTACACGTGACACTACCGAACTTGACCCGTTTTATTTTTAATGCAGAGTATGGTCTTATATGGTCTTATTAGCCCTTGCTGGCTTTGATTGAACCCGGAAATCAACTTCAAGATACCGGTATTTGTAATGAAAGATTATTACTTCAATTATACTATAATTTCAAGGTTATTATAAAGATATAAAGTATTATACCAGGAAAGTTCATTCACCTCCTCTCGAACGCGATTTTTTCTCACGAGAACAAGAAAGTATCTTGCGAAAGCAATGTCTGTTCCGCAGTGCGGAAATGTCTTGCTATCATATAAAAACTGAATTAAAAAAATAGACATGACACGCGCCATGATTGTCCTTATATGAACATGCCCTTATTCAGCTTGGGGCTACACTGATGAGCTCCAAAATATACTTACGTTCAAACTAGGGAACACTTATTACATATTCGCAACTAGAATATTTAAACTTGATGATTATTTTTGACCATAGTTAAAGGTGTAATATTGTTTCCTTAAATGCAGAGCTCTACGACCAAACGCTTCAATTCACCGACTACCGCACTTGTCGTGTGCTTGTTCAGCAGTTTGCTCAAACCAGACGTAAGTAGTGCTTGATATTTTCCCCCTATGATTATGACTTTTTCCTAGCAAATGAATATGATTTAGTGGACCCTATTTTCGCAAGGTAATCGCATACATGCCTGTCATTACTGAACCAACGGCTTATTTGTCTTATTATGTTTTTGATCTATACTTTACAGGGTGATTCAAGGAGAGGCGAAGCTCTTTAAATCGACCGCAAAATTCGGTTTCTTAACCTATCGCGCTACGACTTTATGCAGCGTTGCCCACAGATGGTGCATTTCTTTTGTAAAAGTATCAAAGAGCGAACTTACCTGAGGAAAACATAAAGAAAGAAAAAGGCTTAGCTACTTTGTAAAAGCAGCGAAGCCGCCGGTCTTCAAACAACACAGCGACGTTTCGCACGGGAGACAAGAGATGGCGCAAGCGGTCGCGAAGCCAACTGCCGCCAACGAATGAGCATACGACGCCGAGAGCCGGCGTCTCTAGCAGACAAGAAACCAGGAGCGGATTCAGAGGGGGGGTCCGGATGTCCTAACCCCCCTCTTGATTTCTGCTTGTGTAAATTTTAGGGTGTAAAACAAAGGAGAGGGGGAGGGGGTTCTAAACATATGGTACGCTGACCAACACCAGACCCCCCCCCCCCCCCCCCCCCTAAGGAAATGCCTGCATCCGCCCCTGCAAGCAACTGCAGTTCCTTGTTGCTACCGCGCCTGTTTTTGTTTCTACGACTGCCGCCGGCCTGCGGAACGCGCGCCGCTTTTGAGTCGAAAACATCGTCCGCTATATAAAAAAAAAAAAAAGACGCCGGCTCTCGGCACCGTATGCTCGTTCGTTGGCGGCGTTCGTTGCGCCATCTCTTATCTCCCGTGCGAAACGGCGCCTTTTTGTTTGAAGACCGTCAGCTTCGCTGCGTTTTCAAAGTAGCTAAGCCTGTTTTTTTTCTTTACTTTTTCCTCAGGTAAGTTCGCTCTTTGAAACTTTTACAAAAGAAATGCACCATCTCTGGGCAACGCTGCACAAAGTCGTAGCGTGATAGGTTAAGAAACCGAATTTTGCGGTCGATTTAAAGAGCCTGGCCTCTCCTTGAATCACCCTGTAGCATGCAGTCTCCCACTGACACAAAGCATTTTTGAAGTAACAAACTGCGAATTCAATAACATACTTCCTCGTAAATTGGCGTTCTGAAAAAAGAAAGCTTGCCTTTCAGAGAACACTTAGAAAGGTAAGATTCGTTGACTCGTATATACATTTTGTTATGAAGCGTAAGCCACCGAGAAAGTGCCATTATACAGGCTTGATCGTGCTGACCAAGGCCATGGAGCACAGAATTTGCCCAGCACTTACACTCCGTGTGTTGTTCGTGCTATATTTTTCATCCTTTAATTATCTATTTTTTACGTTATGTTTATTTATTTGTACTTTATTGCCATGTTTTTATTGTTTCATTTTTTCATTTTTTATTTGTGTTTTATTCATATTTATTTATTTTATTTTAATTTTACTATTTATTTATTATAATTAATTTTCTGCCGACGTTGCCGGCTTTTTTGCATTCTAATAAATGAAAATGCATATCCATACCCCCTGGCGTGTACGTTCCTAGGTGCGTACATTTCCTGTTTTTCCGACAACCGGAAACAATTCTTTCATTGTTGGGATGTAATTTTGTTTGTCTTTGAAGATACACTCAAGAGGTGTGTGCATAGATCACTGCACCTTCCGTTTATTTTGTCGTTTTTTTTTTCTTGTAGAGAAGGAAAGAATGTGCCATGCGACTTGTTTATATAGTCCTATAGATTGTGCAGCCTATGGAAATTATGCATGGCGGCACGACATCCTTAAGTCTGCACTCAGTCGTTAGACCTATGTTTTGTAGAACTGGTACTCCAGCTCTAGAGCGCATAATGAGGCCCCGCCCGAATGGGTTGGCCTGTTAGATGGGCTTGCAGGCATGATTTTTAAACGATACTATAGCGGCTCTATAACTAGGGCATGTGAGGTTTTCAGTCCCACTGTTTGTTTTGTGCACAAAAGAAAAAAAAAACGCTTCTACATCTGTAGTTATAACATCCGACTGCCACTGCACCGACCCAGGTTTGACCCAAGCTGCTGGCTTTAAATTTATAAACTATATATATGTAATCTTAACGCCCGTAACGCTCCTAACCTGTAACTCGTTTATGATGCACGCTTTCAAGCTCGTTCATGACAATTTTCTGATAGAAAACATCGCATAATTCCGATTCTTTATTAATACAAACATTACAGCTATATACTATTTTTGCGTTGGTACTAGGCCAAGCCCTCAATTAATCGGTTTCGCTGATTTTTATTCATAATAGACCCCTCTCAGAAAGCCCGACACCGGTGGAAAAGTTAGATCTGCCCGGGTACACCTCGCAGCAGGCGCCACCTTGAAGAGTGCTCCAAGTTTGTTCACGCTTCCCCAGTACGAGTTGTATAGTGTAGGGGGAGGCCGTGACCGATATGCAACTACCGTTTTTTTTTATCATGCGCTAGGAAAAAAATATGCTTGGAGTAAGGACAAATTACTAAATGGTGCCATGAAAAGTGAGAGTCGAGTAGTTCCTTGAACGTTTTTTATGTTTTTCGATAATGTGCTCGAAGCCATCTTGTTGTGAAACATTTGTGAGTGTTCGTGGCTCCGCGAGTTGAAAGGCTTACAGTTGCATCATCTTGTTATTCTGGAGTCTATTCCCGATCAGCCCCAAACGTATGTAAGACGCAGTGAACAGTTGTCGGCGATCCGGTGACTACCAACCCACCGATTGCTAGTCCCTGCGCTCGCAAGTCCTCTGACTGACAAACTCGTTAGCAGATTGCAGACGTCAAGGGACAGGTAGGCCTCATGTCTAGAAGAAGTTTGCGAAAGCTGTGTCTCTTTCAGTTTGCTCGGGTGGCGCTAGCAGATCATCTCTTCAGACGGGTTGCGTAAAAGCCAAGTGTGATTATATCGCAATCCTCACTCAGCTGTTTTTAAGTCCTGCACCAGATTATTTTAAGTCGTGCCATACATAAAATAAAGTATCTACCTTAAAATCGGTTGCGCGATTGCATTTACTCGTATTGTTCAATAAGTCGTGCTCACGGCCGAATAATTTTCCCACGCCTTCTCGAGCGTAGTTGCTAAAACGATAATCCTTGGAAATCAGTTGTTACACGTATTAACTACAACAATATTGTAATAACCTCACTTTTAATTGTACTAGGCAGTCTTTAAGCTGTCATTCATCAGGTGTTTAAATCTGCCAGACAAGCACGTCAGGCCGTGGTTTTACATATCGTCCGCATCTACTAGTAAAGCCTCCACACGAATAAATTTTCTATACGAAAAACAAAAATGCATTAAAACCCGACAGCCGCACACATTCCATATATAAAAAAGTAACTCTATGTGCAATGTGTAAGACTCACTTGCAAATCTACTCGTCAAAAGCGCATCGCCACGTTGAACGGGAAGTCGTCACCCCGATCGTGGCTGACTCTTAGTCCGGACCTCCCGCTGGTTTCTTCACTAGTTCGGGCAACCAAACTGCTCTCCATCTGACTTTTCACGAGAAAACGCGAGCGGACTCATGTATAACATGTGGCATTTCCTAGTAGAATGGACAATTGGGCGAGTTGGCAAGAGTTCATTATAACTTACAGCGCGACTGGGACAACGACGGACAGAGGAGAAAACACGGAACAACCGCTGGAATTTCCTGGCTAGATGGCTGACATTGTCATAATAAAAGCAGAGCTTTCTAAACTTGAGACAGTGGCGCGTCGTCTCAGTCGGTACTATTATTAGACAACTCTACAGATTATGCTCTACTGTGCCGCAAAATAAATATAAGTGTGAAGGTGTCCGAGATCTTCTCGTTAAGTACATTTATTCATCTGGAAATCTTTTCCGCTCTCTTGACTTCCCGAAGCATTTTGCTTCTTATCACAGTTGTCTGGGACGCGGGAAATTATTTTCGACTATCTCTCGTAACACGTAGACAGTTGATTACGGTTTTACCTTGCTCTAGTATTGTAGTTATTGAAAATTGAATCTGAGTATTTACAAAGCCAACAGAGTTTACCAGTTATTTTCTTTATTTCTACATAAAATGGCGAGGTCGCTTTGAAGAAACCGCATAAGTACTCCACTCAGTACTACACGCGACAGGTGGGTGGAACGCTCAGAATCGTTTGGGCTTTTACTCGAAATTGTACGATGTCGTGTACTTTTTTCGGGCATCTCAGAGATCCCTTCTAAAGCCTTGGTTGTTTGTAAGATCAGATGATGGTCAAAACAGTTTCATTTTTTATTTGTTCATTGTATTTAGTTTAAGTGACACATACACAGCTTGACACCTTCTTAGTGGTGCATTTATTGTTGTTAGTGTTGCGTGGTAGGTTTTATCTGAGATATGAATCCGTTCAACTGCAGTCTTTGCTTGGTCGATAAGCTACGACAAAAAATGCTTGAATTGCAGGTCTGGATTCATGATTTGTATAGCAAAAAGGTGATTCCAGAAACCTGGCCAATATTTGAGGTTCCCGTGAAAGCTCGTCAAGTGAAGTTTTGCTAAGGTCATAGATTGGAGATGGTACCCCGAAAAAAAAGTTGTGTCACTTGAAGGGTTCTGAGTTTGGTCATAGGTGACGGTCGCGGTTGATGTTTGGATTGCAAGTTTTAAAATACCATTCAGAAAAGTGCTAACATTTTGTAGAATGTTGTAGCGTTTTTTTATTGTATTCCAGCTCACTGGAAGTTTTATTCCAGTGTTTAATTATACATTAATGCCAACATTTCGCTACAAAGACTTTAAATACGTCTGTTTTTAGTGTTGTTGAAAATGTACAATGGTAGTCACACTTGTCTATGACGCGCGAGCGTGCAGCTTTCTCCGTGGAGAGCTAGATACGTGGGATTCGCGGAAACTAAGCTAGTCACGTGGCGCAACATGAAACGGCCCGCTCGAGGGGTGTCCTGCGCTCCCTATTAGCTGGCAGCGAACGCGGAAGGCTGCTCGCACGCTTTTTACAACCATCATTGCTCGAACAATAAACAAACTAAAGCATGAGGTCGTATCAACAATGTCGTCATCAAAAAAAAAAAAAAATATCATAAAGCGCTTTACTTTTATTGCTTATCAAGCTGGTATAAGGCTTGCTGCTATGCAAAAAACAAAAGTATATCAATTGACCGAATTCAACAGGATTGCGCATAGTATCGAGAGAATCCTACAGGACAAAAGCGCTGATCGTCGACAATGACACCACGAGTGCCGAAAGACGTCCGAACAAGAATAGTCGAGATAGGCAACCGGCAATGCTGTTTGGTTTGGCGCCATCTAGCGACTGAAACAAGAAATATTGGGTACCCCTGGGAGTGGCGGCTGCATTGTTCAAACGTGAGCTATTACTTTGGTGTCGCCGCTGAGCCTAGTGTCTGAAGCAAGAAATACTGGGTATCCCAGGAAGCCGTGATCGCGTAAAGTGCCAGTAGAGCGAAAGCTACGGCCCTGGTGGGCCAATCGGAACGTGACTGCCTATCACCGGAGGGCGCCTCAACTCCGGAGAAGTATCAGGCTTTTCGCTGCGTCATGCTCCAATATGTGTGTGTTCCGCTCGTATACGTCCCGCATTTCGAAGCCTTCGGCACGCAATGTGGGGCTTATCGTTCACCCTTTGCCAAGTTACAACGAGACACGCTATAACCGTGCTCTCTCTCTGCTGGCGCCGCCTGGCCGTTGCCGGTTGGCTATGAGCGAAGCGGGGTTGTCCCGGCTGATAGAGTGGGTAGGACACCCCTCGAGCGGGCCGTTCCATGTTGCGCCATGTGACTAGCTTAGGTTCAGCGAATGCCACCAGTCTAGCTCTTTCCGGAGAAACCGCACGCTCGAGCGTTATAGAGTAGTGTGATTAGCACTGCACGTGATTCGGAAATTTATCTTCTGTTGGATCGCGGATTCTCAGAATCTTTCCCATATGCGAAGATGTCCAGTTGGCTGCTGGGCGAATGACGGTGCAGGTTTTCGTTGCTTGTTCCATTACAGTAGGTTATGAGGTGAGGTCTTCACCTAGATGGCTGAAGTTAGAGACCAAAACTATAGCTCTGTTACGTTGTTTAAGTACATCTGAATGTCGCTGCACCCGATATAGTAACGTGTTCGGGATATATTTTGTGTTTCGCCGACACCTAACATGGTGATTTAACCGTTCATGCTAACACTAAACCTGCTAAATTTAAATTCAAGATAGAAAAAAAAAGGTAATCGAATTTTGTTGCATAGCAAATTCAAGAAGCAATAATCAACGCAATCTGTGTCTAATTTGAAAGGTACAGTCCTGATCGACTCAACTTAAGCGCACCACCACGCGTTTCGGTTTTCGCGGGCGGTGCCTTAGCGGCTGTCGGTACTGGAAGTTGGTGACGTGGCTTCGGGCAAATTCAAGTGTCTGGGGGGAGTGTGGTAGCCCCAGAGCTGGGGCACCGCTCCTCATTTCTACACTCGCTGACAGCTCTAGGAACGCAGGCGTATCGATGCCCGAGCATCTTATTATCGCTCCTCGACCAACGAGATGGCGATATTAGGCAATAAGAACGCCGAAGAGAAAATCTCGAAGTTCATTGACCAAAATAATCAAACAGTTCCAGTTTCGACATAAATGCGCGCATCGAAATATATCTCTACATATTTTTTTGTGTTTATATCACCAGATTTCGAAACCGGACGCAGGAAGAGCGCAGGGCGGTTCGTTCACTATAACGCATAAATCATAAAAATGTGACGTCGTAGTTTCACACACCTCGTGCTTATCTCAGCAGCGTGTCCTCGGTGGGTGCGCCAATGTCGCGTTTACCGCGATAACAACGAAGCACCCGAAATTAGTGCGTCCCTCTTCTAAACATCATTATGGATAGATGTTCCAGCGTTGTTTCTGCATCCAGTTTTAAAATAACTTTTCAGGATGTACAACAAAAAAACTTATTGTTGTGTATTCAATGCTACTTCAAAAACTATTTAAATGCATTTAACCTCTAAACTGTCGCCAATGCTGTACTTTCAACATCATCATAAAAGCAATGACGCAGAGTTTTACGTGTTATGTTTTATTAATTTGAGCTAAATGTAATATATATTACCCGTCCGTAGTGAACCGACCGTTAAAAAACGCCAGAAAAGGTGGAACTCATAGAAAGCCTTCATTTAGAGTTGGAAAGTAATTGCTCGTTGGCTAAAAGTAGTGTCAAAGACACGATGTTAGAATGTAGTATTGATGCAAGTTTGATGCAGAAAAATTACTGTAATATTGATGCAGTGAACTTATTCTAGTTCATATTTCATTCCTCTCATAATTGGTGCGACCTTGCAAAGCACTTTTATTTGCTTAACGCCACTCTAAGATCATATGACCTGATGGATTATTGACCCATTTGCCCTATTTGATGCTGAGGTAAATAGTTCATTAGGTCGTTTTAGTATGTAATCAATATTATCAGCATGAATTTATTTAATTACATGTATTAAACACAATTTACGAGTATATAAATATATTTGTGAATTTTTAATCTTTTACAGAATGTAGCCTGTGGGTGATCCCCGAGAGAAGAGGGGGACCTATTCCAGCTGTATGCTCGCAGGCCTACACTGATATCTGTGGAGATCGAAGGCATCAGATTGATGATCCTCAACGTTGCCGATAATTTTCTTTTGAGACAGTACACAATAAAAATAAAACGCGAAAAATTGTCATTCATTATTTTTTGAGAAATACATAGTCAGTGTCTTCAACAATTTAATGCGTATTGTATAATTGTTCCTCAGATATTTTATTGCATCGACAACAAAAACGTTGTCTTATTAGAATTACTGTCTGTATAACAGTTGCTGCAATTATTTGACTTGCTCGTTGAATGATTTTGTACTTAAATTTATAATCAAAGACGTCGGCACTATTCTAAGTGCATAATGGAGAAACTACTCGCCGTATCTGTTTTGCTTTTTAGTTCCAATAATCGGTATGAACGTCAAATAAAAATTGATAAATATGTAAAATAACAGTGACTCGCTCGATGGTGTCGTCCTGAAGCTTCCATCAAACTGGTGTCACTTTAGTAGTACCGCTGGTATGTCAAGTCTTATACACATGTGGAAGCCCACAACGTTTGGAAAAAATTCGAAGAAAAGATTAAAACATGCATTATGGAAATGCTTTAAAGATGTAGAGAAATTTAACATAAAAAATATTTGGACGTAAGTCTTTTCACGCCGGGAGATCAGTGAATAAAAAACCTTCCAAAATGTTTCTGTTATTTTATTAAAAACCTTTGGAACACCTCATTAGAATATATAAAATGTCAAAACATTTTACCATTTCTTTTGTCTCTTCACGTACGTTATAAGAAGTGTTGGCTTTGTGTTCAATTAAAACTCAAATTTGTTTTTGTTTTTTTGTTTCGTCTATGCTGTTTTATTAGATTTTCACACTTTGCAGCCTTTCATATATCTTTTCAGAAAAAAATTGCTTTATTTCCAGCTTTTCAGCCGAAAATGTTTAGAAACCTTAAAGCCGTTTACCGCTTGGCGCCAAATGGCGGGCTGCAGCAAGACGTAAAAAGATTTCAGGCATATTGTTGTATCTTTTCCGCTGTGCTTGTTAACTGACATGCACTTTATATGTAACTGAACTAACTACCATTCTTACACACAAAGAAGCTACAATCACAAACTCCGTAAATCAACCATAGCCCCGCGATATCTTTTTTGTAGCGTGAGCTACACTGGCTGATGTTGAGCAGTTTCGCGTGGCTCTTATAATGAGCCGTGCTCATTATGCGAGACGTGCTCATTATGCGGAGCGCGCGGCGGCGTGGCGGAACTCCGCATAATGAGGACGCATAATGAGCACGGCTCGCATAATGAGCACGGCTCATTACGAGAGCCACGCGAAGCCACCGCCGCGCGCTCCGCCGCCGCCTCGCCCGCCTCACCGGTCTGCGCCTTCCAGAGGAGGGACGTAATGGCCATGTCAGACGCACTGGCGCCGCCGCGTGTCCAGCTGTGCGCCTCCGTTGCGCAGTAGCGAAGTCTGACGCTGCACCGGAGCCGCTTGATAGCGCCTCTCATTTTGTGCGCATAAGCTCACGCTACATATATCCTGGCATATAGCCCAGCTAAGCCACAGCGATTTTTTTATTGGACACGAGAATCAGAGCATACAATACTATGTCAGTTTAAAACAAAGCAGACACCTCAAGCTCTTCTGGACCAGCTTAAAACATTTTTTTTTCTCTCCGTATTTTGGATCGCGTCAAACAAATGAGCCAGTCGAGCGTAGTGTCCGCAGTCCCACTGTACACAGACTGACAATGAGTGACAATATCAATAAGTGTAAATGTACTACCTTGATTTGGCGGTGAACGTGTGGAAATTCAATTTGTGTTTTTACTATGATATATAAGTCTAGCGCAATTGAGATTTGAAGCGGTATGTACAGTGGACGTCCAAATGTATCTACATATTATTTACGGCTTCTCTTCATTATGGTGGTTTAACTACACAATGCAAGTCAAGCAAAATAATTCCCATACACAAATCTCATGATCGCAATAGCCCAGCCAATTACAGACCAGTTTTGTTGACTAGTACTTGTTGTAAACTTATTGAACACATAATCTTCAAACATATAATAAGTTATTTTCAAATGAATAATATTCTAATCGCATTTCAACGTTGTTTTAGGAAATCCCTATCAACATTCACATAGCTAACAGAGGTAGTGCATTCTTTAGCCAGCTCGATAAATAATAAGCGACAAACCTATGTAATTTTCCTGGATTTTTCAGGCTTTTGGTCGCATCCCACATCCCGAACTATGTGGGAGCCGAGGGTGACCGACGAGTAACAGGGCACGTGACAGGCGGTCGTCGGAGAAGTCACGAGCTGGCGCGAGACAGTGCGAGCTGAGCGAGGCTGGAGCTGGTCAGGAATGTCGGAGCCGGGCTGCCTGCTCTGGTCTATGGCGAACCCCAGAGCGGTTCACCAGCGAGGTCTGGAGCAAGACCGGTGGAAACGGCGAGCCCTGGCCATATGGCCTTGGCTATGACGATCCCGGGGTGGTTCCGCGGCGAGACTCGGGCATTCATAGCCCGAGACAGCCAGCCTACGCAGCGCTGGCGTGGGAAAAGCGACCCGCAGGCCTGGACACGGACTCCAACTATGAGCTCTGATCGACGGGCGACAACAAGGGTCGGCGTGCCTGGACTTCCGGCTCTCAACGACGGGCAACCGGGAGGTCCAGTAAACCCATTCGCTGTCTTTTCGTTGTGTTATGTCACTCCCTGGGTGATGGGCGGAACGCATACCGATAGGGCGGCGATTATTAGTAGAGGGATCTCCGTAAACAACCCCACAACTACTGCTCAAGCTCTCTTCAATTTTCAAAAACAAACAAATATAAGTGGTTTGATGCATATATATACTTATCTAAGCGGTCCCAATGTCAACATCCTCGAAAGTGTTCAGAGGAAAGCGAAAAGATTTGTTCACCACAAGTATGGTCGCCTTGACTCCCCTACAGAATTGCTGAAAATATCCAGCCTAGTGACTATTGCTGATCGCGCAAAATTAAGAAGACTCAAATTTGTGTGTCTCCTTTTAAACGATGCCTTTAAATAGGCAAGAACAAGTACGTGAATTTTTCCCAGGCCAGAACAACAAGGCATACCCTACTGAAAAAAAAAAAAAAAAACATTTGAAATTTGAACTAATCGACCCGTTTGAATCAAACCTGTCGATCCGTTCGAATCAAACGTGATTATGGGATACGGGTACCCGTTTGAAACGCTATCCGTTCGAAACGGTACCCATTTGATACGTATGCCCGTTTGATACAGGTGCCCGCTTGATACGGGTGCCCGTTTGATACGGGTGCCCGTTCGACCTGGCACGTGACCACACGTTTGAACGTGCATCCGGATTCGCTAGACCTAAATGGGTATGGTCTGGGAGGTTGATTATTTTAAACTTATTTAAGACGTCCCGAAACTCATAAACGTATTTATAACATGGAGAAAACACGTAGAACAAATGCGCTCGCGTAGGTGCTTGCAAATGGACAGAAAAACAGACACAAAAAATTGTTTTCAATTCTCCTCGAAGTTTATTACCTCTCCTGACGACAAGTACAAACGTGCAAGCGATCTGTGAAATGTGCGAGGCACTTTAAGCTTTTGCACAACTGAGAAAATTGCAAAGCAAACAAGAACCGAGGTAATTCTAGACTATACAGCTAGACTTTCGGGGAAATTATTCTCCCGGCTGCCGCGTCAATAGGCGCTGCATAACTCTACGGATAACCTGGAAGAGTACGCGTACAAAAGCGGTCAATCGTTGCCAACACGTATTTTGCAGTGCACTTACCATAATAATAGCGGACTTGAAACATGTAATCCGTGATATTTGTCGTCACGGTCAAAGCAGGACAACCACACAAACACTAGAACGTGAAGGAAGGCTCCTTGAAGTTTCAACACGATGCGGCGCACAAGCTGTCATTTGCCGAACCCAGCCAAACCGCAAGAATTCCTGACTTCTTTGAAGAATCGCTTGTTGCCGATATACGCGTAGGACTTTTCGAACGTTTGGTGCACATCCCATACGTTGTCCTGAGACACTCTTATAAGACCGCAGGGAAAGGCGGCAGATCGAAGCCGGCAGGACAAACGAAGTTGCAACGGAAAACAAGCAGACAAAGAAACAAGCGACTGTCATCGCGCGCGCAGCCGGATCCTGGCTATGCTTATCAGCGTGGAGCGTGCCCTACCATCTCTCTGGTCACGTGACAGAGCCGACCAGAGGGGAGGAAGGGGGCGACGGCGAGGTCAAGGAGCAAGACACCGGGACACACCACTCCCCTCCCTCGCCAACCCTCTTTTCATGCATTCTATAAACAAAAACAAAAAAAAAACAAAAAAAACAACAACAACAACAACCTGCGGTTTGCTTTTCGTGGCAATGCAGTCAATGCTAGGGGAGAGGGTGCACGGACCGCTGTACACGCGCTTTCCTTCTCTCTTGGAGTTGCCACTGCACGTCGCATTTGCAGCCTTGGAAAGCAGACGAAACGCGCGCATTTCAGCACGCACGCTGGAAATGGCGTCGGCCATGAGCTCGGTTGGCGCCCGAGCCAAAAAAGCACCCAGCACGAGCTCGTGATTTGACTGCTGCAACGGCGGGCGTGCTCTCGCAATGCCCGATGTTCTTGCAGGCACGTGTTCGCGCTACCTTCGCTGCGTCTTGAAATGAAGTGAAACGGACTCTGGAAGTACATTCTTTCATGCGGTCGCGTCTTTTGCGAGAGAGATTCGAGCTGAATAAGAAAATTCAAGCCAAAAAGATGGACAAAGTTTTAAAGTTCTGAAAAAAATATCGGCTCACCAACGTCGCGCGTTTACGTAAAGAAAGAAAAAGAAATGTGTTAGTTTTAGTTGCAGTATAAACGCACATCAGCGCACTTGAAATATAAATACACGCGCACGATCTGAAATCAATGAACCGGCGCTCCCAGCCTTCCGGAAACATTGGCTGCCACGGCTCAAACAGCTAGGCGTGCCCAGGCCGCCAATCTGAACGTTCAATATCAAACGGGCTCCCGAGAGCCGTTTGATTCAACCGGTACAGTTTCACGGTCACCGGTCACCCG